AGTTTTTGATTCATAGCCAAAATAGCTATTTCAAAACTGTGAACAATTTTCTGTTGTGGCGTAAATGTAGCGGAAATTTCAGGTACCGTGGTGGATCGCCTCGCCGATATCGTAGTCCACCGCCGCCACGTGGTCGCGCAAGCGGAGGTAATCTGGTACCGTTGGGACCAAGTCGCTTCAATCGATCTCGTAGTCGCAGCTTACGTCGCCGGCGCAGCCGTTCATAAACGCGTTATTTGTGTTCGCATCACAGCCTTTTCCTTTTTTTTTTTTTTAAAATTTTCTGAATAGTTTGACAGTATATCTGAACGTGGTAACATTAATTTCGCTGCGGCATCCGCAATATGCACGCCATTGTGTTGTTGAAATCTGTGGTTTGGTATGGCGGCTCTCCAGCTGTACGATTGCCAACTCCTCCGGCGGCTGCTTGGACCAGTGCTGCATGTTTTAGTGGTCAGCGTACTGATGACCCGGACATTGGTTTTTTTGGAGAGATTACCATCTTAGTGGTTCCCCGGACAAAAGCAACTGACGAGGCATCAGCCACTTTGATTTGTCCTGCCCCGAGTTTTAAATCACAAGGGAGAAGCCACACCGAACAGGAGGACCGTAATCCATGTTTCTAGCGATTTAGGAGAAATTTTCTAGTTTGAGAAAACGATAAATTGACAGTACTGTTTCCGGGGTTTTCGACATCGGTATGGTGTTGTTTACGGCACCATGCAAAATTTTAGCTGTATTATCAAAAGTAGAAAACGAAACAAATGTCAGGATATGGCAGACCAAACAACAGGACTGTGTAACATTGGTCAAAGCAACTGGGAAAGTTGCCTGCTTCACAGCTGGAGAACCATACGATGAAAATGGCCGCTTGACCAAACTGTCTCAATGCCAAAATAATTTTACCGGTCGATGTAGACTTGCATGTATGAAACACGTGCTTCCAGGCAATTCTTGGAAGTAGGAAGAATTGACAGGTAGCGAAACGCTTTTCACTTCCACAGAAAGCGCAGTATACGAAGATGAGTAAGTGACATGATAGCCCGTGACATGCTTTGTATTCACTGTTGTTATACGTGAATCATAGTTGTTCTGGTTGCTTGTTACGTCTTTTTATTAATTTTTTCTTGGTAAATATTTATCCGTTTTGTTGCTGCAGAATTTCTGGAATTTTTTTGAAGAAAATATGACATTCTTATTAACGTTCTCGCAAATTTGTCGAGGATTC